ACAGTACTTCATGCATAAAAATTTTTAGGAATTTTTGTCAAATGTTTTATAATATAGTATAAATATTGTAAATATTCTGTATCTATTATCATGCTACTTTAGCTCCTAGATTAGTGATTGCAGTTATGGTTAATTGCTAGGATTATGGGTTTGTGTACTCTATATGGTCCTCTAGTTAATATTAACTTTTAAATATTTAATTTGATACCGAAATCGGTACATTTTTTTAAAATTTTTATGATACATTTAAATTTATATTTTATTCAAAAAATAAAAACATTATCGTTTAATTACTACATAAAATCGTATTATAATATCAACGAAGAAAGAATAAAACAAAACATTAAATCAAGATGTATCTCGTTGTATTGCGCGAGTACCATTCTAACACTACAAAAATGAAGAGTATCAACGAGAGAAAATTCCATCGCCGATCCGTTGCTAAAGGAGTCTTCCGTCGCTGATAGTCCGTCGGTCAAAAACTCGTAGGTAATGATATCGGCGATAGATTTGCGAGGGAACCTTTCAGCGAGGGAACTTTTAGCGACGAATCAGCAAGAGAAATTTTCAGCGACAGATCAGCGAGGGAACTTTCAGCGACGGATCAACGAGGGACGGTAGGGACTTTTAGCGATGGATTTTCTCTCGCTAATCCATCGCTAATGTTTATTAATCTAAAAATAAATAATTTATAATTACATAATTCCTGTATTTATTTATACAAAACCTGACCATAATCGACCAAACCAAAACTATGAACAAATTAAAATCAACCCATTCATACAATTTAAAATATCCAATTCATACAATTTAATGCTCAAATTCGTACAATCTAACTACGGGAGGTGGGGAAGGGAGAAAATGTATCCTGACTACCGCATAAGCGCAACAAAATGCTCTGATAAGGCGGTCTGTTCGGCTAATGCAGTAGCTTGTCTGGCCTGTTCGGCCTCCAAATATGTCTTTCTCTTCCGTTCGGCCTCCATCTCGGCCAGATAGCGTTCCTTCCGCTGCTGCGTCTCCTCCTCTACCCTTGCCAACTTCTCTCTCAACTCTGCTACCTATAAATATTCAATATTCGACAAAATCAGTAATTTGTTTGCAATTAAAGTAATAAGAAAGTATATAACAATATAACCAAAGTATTTTGGTAATTTTATTAAGCAATACTCAAAGTATTGTTAAAATACCGATTCCCTAATTGTGAGGTCATTTTGGTAATTTCACGAGGATAATAATCAAAATAAGACATAGATACCAATTCCCAATACATAAGGTTATTTCGGTAATTTACAAGGCAAATACGTAAAGTATCGCTAAAATACCGATTTCCATATTGTAGGGTCATTTTGGTAATTTTYATAAGGATTTTATTCAAAATAAAACTTAGATACCAATCCCAAGACATAGGGTTATTTCGGTAATTTTATAAAGCAAGCACGTAAAGTATCGCTAAAATACCGATTTCCATATTATAGGGTCATTTTGGTAATTTTCATAAGGATTAAATTGAAAATAACACTTAGATACCAATTCATAAGACATTGGGTCATTTTGGTAATTTATAAAGCAAATACATAAAGTATTGCTAAAATACCGATTTTCAAATATAGGGTCGTTTTGGAAATTTTATAAAAATAATAATAAAAATGAAGCTCATAGACCAATCCCCAAGATATATGGTTATTTCGGTAATTTTATATAGCAAATACGTAAAGTATCGCTAAAATTCCGATTTCCATTTATAGGGTCATTTTGGTAACCAAATGAGATAAATAATCGAAAATGGGTCAAAGTTTGCATTTTAGAAATTACAAATAAACTTGATGAAAGTTTCATAAAATTTATGTAGAGAAATTAAATTCCTAAAACTGCAGGTGTTAAATGTTAATTTCTAAAACTCAGATGAAATAAGCTTATTAAAAATATTAGCATGTAAAAAGAAACAAAACATAAAAGGAGCCTACTGGTTAAGGCATGAGCTCTCTTGCGTGAGGTTGTGGGTTCAAAACCTATCCTCAACATTTTCCTTACAAGTAATTTTTAACAAAAACAGATTTGGGTCTTGGGTTGGGCTGACCAGGCCCGTGACGCGGCTACAGTACAATTTTCAAAACAGTAAGAAAACTGCAGCCATGGCTGCACGTTTTCGACCTTAAAAAACTTGAAAACGGTTCATTTCTTGACCTTTTTTATTCATTCTTTTTGCACCAATCTCTTGGTAATATTTTTACCAACACTTTGGCATAAAGAACACAAATTTTCATCAAGAAATGAGTTCCATTTACTCATTTAAAGTTTGTTTTTAAAACTAAAACTTAACAACTTAAAAACATAAAAATCGAACAACGAAAACATAAATATAAGACATGAGGCTACTGGGGTTTGATAGAGTATTTAAAAACGAAGTCATAGACATAAAAATCAAGAGATTTGGTTAAGAATCTCACCCAAAATCGGTGAAAAACCGAGATTTTCGATCCCAAACTTCAAACTCCGATTTCTCTCTCAAAACTCAACTATTTTTCGAGATATTTGAACCAAAACGTTCCTAAGCCAGAGCTCTACAATTTATATGCCAAGAGTTTTGGCTTATTAGTTGAAAAAATCGGACAAATCGCGAGTTTTAGGCTGATGGGTCGTTTTCTTAAACAGTTATGTACTTTTGGCAAAACAGGTCCCTCATCTTTGAAAAAGATGATATTCGGCCCCCTCAAGTTTCTGACATTTACTATAAGACCCCTCCTGACGTAATATCTTACATTTTTGGTCCAATAATTAAAAGAAAACAATTCTATTTTATTTTCATTTTTGTCTTTCTTTTTATTTAAGATTTCTACTTTATAATCTTTAATTAATTACGTAAATATTTTACATTTCAAATAATTTTAATAAAAAAAATATTTAAAGGCCCATGTAATACTATTTATATATTTAATAAAAAAAATGGGTTTTACACATATATAAGGAGGTACAGAACATATGATAGTTCATAAAGCTCACAATAGAGATACAAACTTGGTCAATCATCTGAAGCCAAAACCTCTCTCAGATCCATACAGGACGGTGTAATCTAATCCATTCTCACTGTTCCATTGCTGACTACTTGAAAGTCAAACTGTAGGTGTGAATAAAATTAGAGGTCTTTTGAAACAAATGTAGGCGGAATACACTCGTGATCTGCTTCACGAGTTGAGAAGTCTACATGTAAAGTTTTGACTATTAGAAGTTAAACCGTAGGTTTAGAGGAGTTTCAGATGATTTAAAAACTCTAAGTGTAACGGTTTGACTACTTGAAAGTCAAACATAGGTATGAATGAAGTTGAAGGTCTTTTGAACGAGTTGAGAGAGCCTATATGTAAAGTTTTGACTACTAGAAAGTCAACCCGTATGTTTAGAGGAGTTTTGGATGAATTTAAAACTCAAGTAGTTAAACCGTAGGTGTGAATGAAGTTGAAGGTCTTTTGAACGAGTTGAGAAAGCCTACATGTAAAGTTTTGACTACTAGAAAGTCAAACCGTAGGTTTAAAGGAGTTTTGAATGACTTTAAAACTCTAAGTGTAAAGGTTTGAACGAGTTGAGAAGCCTATGTTTTTTAAAATTTCGACGGCTTAACGGTTATAAAATGAATATTTTCAAATGTTTGCCGAACCTGATTGACAACTCAACTACAAATTAATACAATCAAGTCTAACGTTTGCCCAACCATTGACAACCCAATTACAAATCTATATAATCAAGCCTAATGTTTGCCTAATAATTGGCAACCCAACTAATTAACAAAGTATAAATTTCTAGTAATAGCAATATACATAACCCACGAATATGTAAAATTTAACAAAAGAACAAATAAAGTTTTACGATTTAACAAATTTCTAAAGAACTTCTAAAACACAAACATATAATTTTTATGATTTGTTTAACC